GCCAAGAAGGGCGGAAAATAAAGAAGTCTCCCTTGAACTCCACCATCCGAGGGAGACTGGAAGCTGTAGCAGTAATGGCGATACAGGAGAACATGCCCCTCCTGGTGGTACGAGCACAGAGTGTTTCACCTCCCACATACAAAAATAACCCGTATAAAACAGCGCTGAGGACATCAGCTTAATCTTCTGCACCATAATCCTAGGAGCATGCAAAGGTATGGCAGTGCATGGACAGGAAAACACCTTTGCTTTTTTCCTCACCGTACCAGCCGGGTGGTGACTTTCCATGGACAAACACATGTTGCAGACTACCTACTCCCCATGCAAACTAGCTTTTCCAAGCACACAGAAAAGCAAAGGGATTAGGAAAACCCTCCCATTGATTGAGCTTTTTTAGGTTAGGGTTTTTTTCATTGTTGTTGTATTTAAAAATTAGCATGTGATTAGCAAGCAATGACATCCTCCCCGCTACCATACACTGGAATTCTCTATAGGAATTGCAAAATAATTTGAGGGTTTCTGCAGCTTTTGTTAGAGAGGTTAGAGAGGAACCACAAAGAAAGCCCACTTAGTACAGAGCTCTTCTACGTGATCAGGGACAGTGGCATTCATGAGTTTGCCAAATTGAGCACACTGTATCTATATTACATGTACAAGTGTGTTTCTTTTTTTAGGGAAGACCATTTCAAGCAGTTTGTCCCATAACAAACAGAATGGGAAGTAAAATGCTTCACTCCGCTCTATATCACACAAACAAAACAAGACATATATCTGAATTTTAAAAGAAAACATGTACTGATGTCAACATTTCATTTTCAGAAAGACAGATTTTCCTCTCATTGGAAACCAAGGCTTGTTAGAGTTACAAGTTACTCTTCCAATATAAGAATATTAAGCATTAGAGCTGCTAATGCACATTTCTCAGTTTAACTGTATCTGCTGAGCCACAAGGCTAACCATGTAATCCTTATGCCTTGCTTCAGGCAATTACAGCACTGAAGATCCAGGAGGCAAGATGCAAAATGGAACCGCACAGCCTGTCGTACGGTTCAGAAATAGAAAGCTACAGAAAACAAAGCAAGAACATTTATTCCCTAAGCAGCTATGTGTTATGCTCAGTGCTCTTCCACAGCTTCAGTGTTTAACGGAAGAGACTCCTTTCAGAGTGTATGAAAATCCCACATATTTACAGTTAAAAATTGCAAAGCATCAACGAACACTTCCACTTACTCAAGAAGAAATTCTTTGTACTTACAAGAAACAGTCCCGTAATAAAACCTGAAAACAAACTGGAAGAGTAGTCACCTTCTCTGCATGCAAGCTCTGCATATATTTCATGCGTAGGAATGTTTCCTCCTATCTGACTTCCACTGTCTGGCTATCAAATACAAAACTACAGGCTAGTGTGACATAAGAGATCAGGAAACAAGAGGCCAGGGTCTTTTCCTTCCTTTTGCTACAATGACAAGTAGAACAGCACAGGGACTAGTTCAGAGCTCACTATAACACATTTTAGTTAAGAGCTGAGAAAAAACGCACCTGTAGGTAAGCACAGACTGAGATCTGATACTCATTAGATGATGAATTTTGTAGAAAAATAGCTGTAAGCTCTCACCATCACCTATGCAACAAACACCTAAAAGTAATCAGTGCCTTCAAAATAATCTCACTTGATTCTGCCCCAAAAGCCACTAATCATCACACCTTATGTAAAGCTCCCCAGCACCAGAGCAAGTGCAAACTAACAACCACTGCGAAACCCATCCCTTAATAGATGGCAATTAGCAATCCATTTGCACAACCTCTTAGCTATAATTAGAGAGTTTTGCTTCAATTTAAGATAGATTGGCTATAATTAGTTTGCATTTAAAAACTAGCATGTGCGCTATGCTATTGATTTAAGGAAATAGTTTAACTTACATTCCTTCTATGCCTAGAAACCAAGAAAGAATAAGAAATCATAATAATCCACCTGATCTTTTGGTTTACCTGACCTGCTCTGGTGAAGGAGGTGATGAGCCAGCCCATTTAAAAACTATGTGGGAATATTATCACAAGATACTGAAGATGCGAACCAACCCTGGAAAAAGGGCACAAGTCTTGCTTAAGAGGTAGCCATGTGCCATAATCAAAGCTGTAATTTGTTACTTTCAATATCGTCCGTAAACACCTTAAAAGTAAGATTAACATTTTCCCAGGAAAGATGCTCTAATTGTGTGCAGCTGTGAAGTCAGCACATCAGCTGTGAGTGTACTGCACTTTCGCTCTTTGACATGTGAAAATGAAACTTTCTCACCTTGCTCATCTTATCGGCCTCATCAGATGACTCCAAGTCTTGCACTTCTGCCTCCTCTGGAGCTGTCTCAACAGAGCTGTCCGGGTCGCCGCAAAGCGAGTGCCCTGCTGAAATTGAGACGGTGTGTGAAAACCCAGCCATAATTTCCAAAAATTCAAAAAGCTGGGCGCAACAGACATGGGGTTCCCATGGAGGGCCAGGCTCCATCCTGCACGCAAGTACATGCCAACAAGATGTTATGCCAGAGGCACTCAATGACCTCAAAGGACTACCTCGGTTTACAGCAGGGGCCAGGTTTAACTACAGGTGTAAAAATAAACAGGTTATGGCCAGACACACTATTTAGTGGGAACTACGAAAGCCGATTCAGAGATAAGGCTAAAATGCCACATCGCAATTCTTATGTTTATTATTAATTTCTTGGCTGGCGAGCAATTGCCTACCTTTATACTTCAGTGGTTTCAAATGGAAACTGCAGTACGTGAACGGGCAGGCTATGCCAAGAAGCAAGCCTTGGTCAGCCCTTTCTCCGAGTTAAGTCAAACATGATGATTTAAAATTGCTTGAAGTTTTGGCCTAACACACCCAGTACCAAGTTTCGATGTTGATTTTTAAGGAAACAAACCTGGGTTTAGCAGTTTTTAGGAGTCTATTACATTAACTGAAAACTAAATTTCATCTCCATCAGTATGTGGCAACAACTATGCACCCCTATGCCTGAGCACTCTTCTGGAGACTATGTTGTTGATACAGCTAATAACTCCTTTGCGACTTCTTGTAAGTAAATGATGAATTACCTACAAGTGCCAAAAGAAAGAAGAGAACTAATCCCAGCCCAAGAGCTCTGTGCACAAATAACTTTTTTGTGCACAGCTTAGCCAGTCTTCACAGAAAAACAGATTTCATATACATTCAACTTCTAGCTATGGCAAATTATAATGACCAGCGATGGACTGAACTCTGCCAGGAAACTCCTGCATGCCTCAATTGACCTTCAAGCCAGCATAAAGAGATGCTTTACAGCAGCTGAGTCCAGACCCTAATTCCTTTTACCTTTCCCTCTCCTCCTCTCAACCCCATAAGGAAGGGATTTTTCTGCGGTGTCACTCCTGGGCTGGATGGGGAAGGATGGTTTCTGAGTACGCCTCCCTGCCCGCATCCTGCCACACGAATAGGACAGCGAATGTTCCACCAGAGATTATACCTTTTATTCCATTATGTTTATTCTTCAGGTAATGCAGAAAAACATAATCAAAGTTCAGTGGATGCAGCAACACAGAAAATCCCTGCTTTTTAAAACTCAAGACTCAACAGACTACATTAACATAATTTTTGGTTGTATTGTTAGCACATGGCATTTAAACATTTTGGTGGAAAACTGACACTTTTCTGTAGCAGAATAGATTTTTTTTCAAATCAGTGGGGTTTTTTTGGTTTGCTAGCCCTACAAATAGAAGCAGTCCAACAGCACACTATCGTGTTGTCAGCATCCAGTGGTCCAGCAGCCATCCCCTCCTATTCACTACTACGTTAAAACATGGACATTTTACAAAGATTAACAGTGATTTAGCACATCAGATGTAGCACCATTTCTATGTTAGTCCCATGCTGCCTCTCATGTTACTTGCTATTTTTCAATTAGACATTTCAATTTAGGTAAGTCACATATATTTGTCTATAAGGAGCATTTGGCTAGATAGCAATGCTGTGAGTAAAAAAGCCACAGTGATGATAACACACATCTGTTACACCAACATATTTCTGTTAAACACTGTGTGGTTTGGCCGAAAAGGCTATAATAGCGAGGATGGTCTTTTTAATTCAGATAAAATGGCAAGCTGCTTTAAAATCAAGAGATTTTGAAAAAACAAACCCTAATTACATCTAATAAATTTGTTTATATTTATACTGGAATGAAATATATTTCATGATACAGAAATGACAGTTTCTAAGAAATATGTTTCGTAAATGAATAAGAAAAATTCTGCTGCTTCTTCACTACAATTGAAAAGCCACTGCTCTTCTTTCAAGGAGTGTTATGTTAACGCATAGTGTTGGTTCACAAACACGTCCTAGGTAAGACTCTCTACACCAAGACTGAGGGCAGAGATCCAGGTCTGGGTTCTTCAGTACTCAATTTTCAGCTGCTGTCCTTGCAAGCTTTCAGCCACCATTACCAAAAACAATTTCCAGGACTGTACAAGATTTCCACTTTACTGGAAATGATCTGGAAAAATTGGAATTCAGAAAACCAGAATTAAATACAGAAAATATTCTGCATACTGGGATAGAGCTAAATTGGACATCAAATGAAATTAAAGGGACGTAAAAGGTAGTTCATAGTTGAGCTTCCGGAAGACATGCCTCTCTTCTGAAAAGATAGAGTTTACCTTTTAAAAAGATGTGCTTGTAGGGAATGTTTGGCAACACAAAATCTATTTGAGGAAGTGTTTTTCTGTAAGAAGTTAGGTTTTCTGAGCCTTGCCCATGATTTTATCAACTTGGACTATAAGCTTTCTGGTCTGTCTATTAATGTGTGAAAAAATTCTTAAAACCCTTAAGGTATCCATTAAAAAATAAGAGAAAAAATGTGCTATGTGTCATAATTTGTTTCGGCCAGTCTGTGTTTTTTCACTGCAATTAATTTCTCATTATAAGCTGTGTGAAATACATCCTACAGCTGTTTCTCACACCACGCCAAGGCAAATAATGTTTGTTTTGGGGTTTTGGTTTTTGCTTTTAAGCTACCACTTTTTCTTTTCCTGTATATTAAAACACCACTTAATCTGTTTCCTGCAGTATAAACACTTCTACCCAGTAGACAGCAATCTTTCACTTAGGTCTTAATTAGCAGTCACACAGTACATGTGCTCAGGGTATTTCTAATGTCTTAAGCTGCCAAAGCCAATGTCAACTTTAGCAGGTTTATCTGCTGGTTGTTAAACACAGGCAATCAGTTCAATAACGCCGCACGTTCCTGCCTTTTAACACCTTCCAGTTACTGTCCCATTTCTGTCAGGTTCTTTACATCACTTTATTTTTGCCCTGTAAATCTTTATTTAGTTCAGCAAGGAGCTCTGAGGACAATGTGCTCGTTTCCGCCTGCAGCACCTGAACGCTGCCCAACCCCTACCATTTGCTAGGGACGAAAACACGTGGGCTTCACTTGACATTAAGGAATTAGAAAGGGAAATCCAAAAAGCAGCAGGAAAGGGGGGTCAAATCCATGTGGCCACCAGCACAGACAGAGGTCACACGAGCTCCCAAGTTGCCTCAGCAGCATAATATCTGTGACATTATGACTAATGCTCATTAAATAACTCCTACTTATGGCTAGAACTAACAAAATAAAAGGAAGTCTTGTATCACTGGAGCAAAGGTGCTTCTGCTTAAAGGCCTAGAGAATCATGTAAAGCTTAAGCACCATGCCAACACTTGGCTAAAATTTTCCACGGCCACTGCTTCCAATTTGCAGGGTTGCTGTTGCTCGAGATTTTAATGAAACTTCCACGATATTTGGTACTGCTCTTAAAACCCGTTTCTTGGTGCCAGAATGCAGTGGAAATAACTATTCCTAGCCAAGCTCTGTCAGCTGTGGTGCAAAGCTCAGAAATGCACATCCTACTAACACAAAAATCAGCATACAATTCAGAAAACCCTCCATGTTCATAATTTTAGCATCTTGTTGCCTTATTCCTGAGTATGTGGAACTGGCAATACTGAATTTAGTCCCCTCAGTGGCTGCCACGGGGAAGTGCTGGCAAGGACAGCCATCTGCCAGCATGTTACGCACTGTGGGCCAGAAGCAACAACAGGCCTGGATAGCCGAAAGCTACAATTTGTATCTTTAAGGTGCCTCAGTTTCTTATGCAGGTTGTTTTACACACCTCAGCGCTTCACACAACACCTTGCCGTGCGACTGAGGCAGAGATCTGCTGCAGCCGGGTGGCAAGTGTCAGGGGCCAAGGAGCTCAGCCCCGTGTCCTTCCCTGCCCGCCTGCCACCGCTCGCTCCCTGCAAAAGGTAGGTCGTGCTCCCCTGTACTTCTTTCACTGATGAAACTCAGCGATACTGGAAGTCAAACATAGCAATTGCTTCATCACTTGCAGCGAGAAATAAAGAGTGACCCCTACACAAGTTGAGACCACAGAAGGAATATGGACCAGGCAGAACATGACTACCCCGGCTGATGCCCAGCCAAGGCACTCGGGAATCTGTGTTCCTGCAAGATGTGCTGCAGAGGCTTCAGTGGCCATGTGCTTTCAGTGGCTCACGTTTGACTGTTGTCTTAAAAGAAGAGAGTATCAATTTCTTGGACAGTTCAATAGCAACTTCCTAAAACAGAAAGTGTAATTTCTAAATGCTGTTGGTGAACAGCCCTGTACGACAACGGAGTACCCTTCAGAAGAGACTCTGTCATAAATGGAACAGTTTTAACACAAATTGTTAGGGAACTGTCTCTCAGATCAAATTTTTGAGACAAAATTTCACCTATAAATCTACAATAAAAAAGGTAAGCATGCATTTTTTTTTTTTTAGAAGAATTCTGGTTAGCTTTGAAACACTGAAACATAAAAGAAGAAAACATCATTTTTACACTGGGGTATTCTGTCCCATTGGGAAGTCCCACAGGGTTGATAACCTCTCTAAAGACCTGTAAAACCGAGCTACAGCTATCACAGTTACAGTCAACTGCATGACCAAAGAACAGTATAGGAACGAACTGAGGAATTCTGCCTCGCTTGGAGAGCTACAGAACAAGCCCCATAAATCTCTTTCACTGTTGCTTCCCTTTCCATTTCAACTAGGTAATAAATTGCACAAATACAGAAAAATCTACGCTGAATGTCATTCAATTCATTCACTCTTCTTGGGAAAAACGCAGATTCATTAAAAACTTCACTGTACCAACTATACCACGGCCACTTTTCACTCTCCCCAGGTCAGGAGCCTCATCAAACACCTGCAGTACGCTTGAGTAGCCTGTTTGGAATAAAGAGGAATTTTCATAGACACAAAAATGAAGCATGTGCTCAGTGAGCTTGGAAACCAGAGACACTGAGATCAGAAAAAACAGCCTTTCCTTCTGCCAGCACCGTGCTGCAGCCTCGGGCTCACGGAGCCGGCAGGGGGAGCGGCAACACAGAAAGAATATTAAGATTAGAAATCCGCGGGTAAGGGAGCAGGTATGCTTACTGCAGCTAAAATGGAAAGGATCAGAAACCCAAAGCCACAATGCAAAAACTAACATGCTAATAGCCACGCTGCTTATTCCAACAGCAGCTCAGGCAGACTTTAGAAAAGCCAGGAATGGGACCTCTGAACGCAATTCTGAATGAGGCAACATCCTTGAGCTTTGGCTTTCAAGCTTCTAGAAAAGAGATCTCGTGAACAACAGTTCTGCATGTCTCTGATTAATTATATGCAAGACCCTCAGATTACTGCTGCAGTAAATGCCCCTGGAACTGTTAAATCAAGCACTGAATGATAACAATATTTTTTAACATGCTACAAAAGGTATGAAATTAGTTGTCTGCCTCAGGAAAATAACCCTGAAGAAATTGTTCTGAAATCCAAATTACTTAGCCTAAGGGGACTTGTGACAGGACCGGGATGGAATGAAAAACAGTGGCCATTCTTACAGTGCAATGAAAGTTTGTTTCAGTTTTATACCACAGTCTTTAGAGTGTGTGTTAACTTCAGCCTCTGGTTCTCCTGCTTTCTGAATGACAAAATAATATACTCCTTAAACATACCTAGCTGCTTCATATCTAGAAGATTAATATACCCATTCAAAACTTTCTTTTTTATCATTTATACATTCCACACTGTGATTTATATGGCTCACAGTTATCCCTGCAGAGTTATCCCTCATGCTAGAGGTCTCCAAAATACAGGAGCATGCAAAGCCCAAACCTCAGAAACTCTACCCCAGAGTAAAAAAAGGTAGAGAATTGTGGGGAGACCACAAACAAATATGGATACTACTCCCATTCCCAAATCCCCTTCTAATAACAAAATATCTTCTTTATGATTTTGGGGAGATGCAATACTGTGTTTCCAGCTTTCAGCCTGTCATTCCCTGGATTGAGTGGAGCAGAATAGGGAGACAAAACACTTCTCATGGACAGGGGAGACAGCTCTCACTGATCCTTTTAGTCAATAAGGAAAACATGCTGTGGGGCTCCAGACAGAATGAGAGCTAGTCCTTCTCAACTAGATTTATGCAGACTGCGTTAGCAAGAGAGAAGACTGAAAACCAGGAAAAACAATAATAGATGAAAGGAACAAAACTCGTGGCTCTGCGAGCCTGATGCAGTGCAAATTCCTAGGGGAAAGTATGTATCATGCCCAAGATGATATTTTCCACATCAATTAGAGATATAAAAACCAAGATCATTTCAAGAATAACCTGTTAAGTAAACTCAGTGAAGCAACTGCTGCCACAGAGCTGATCTGCAGCTCTAGCCCCAACCTCAGTATATTCAAGGTAGTTCCAGATAATGAAACAGCTGTAAGAGACGTAGTATTTAACAAGAGCACTGGCAGTCACTTCAGGGAGTTGACTCCCCAGAACACAGTCCTGCTTTGCTCCTAGAAGACCTCCCACTGACTAATAAGGCACTAGGAAAGCTTCCTTAAAAAAAATATGCACAGCATCTTTCTGTTGAAAACACACAATATGATTTGCCTCACACAAAAAATCTATGCTTTGCTGCCTTCATAGCCAATGAAGAACTGCTAGTGTAGAAGATAATGATAGGACATCAGCATGATCGGTCAACCAGACCCTGAATTTCTGGAGAACGGATGTGCCTACAGGTGATTTATACCTGCTGGCATTCTGGCCCAGCAATGTTTCACCCCCCTGCTGAAAGCGGGGGCTATACTACTTCAGGACCAAAGAAAAAATCCGCATGCTATAAACAAAATATATGACAGAAATCACTGAGCTCATTTGCCTAGCCAGCCAAACTGCCAGTAATCAACAAGGACACAAATAAAATGGGTCAGTGGGTATTTCATACTTGACTGTTCTCTACAAGAAGCTGTGGAGCCGAGATCAGAAATCTAAGATACAGCCACAATCTCCCAAATAAAAGCACATGCCCCTTTTTAAAATTTCATGTGGATCCCATTCTAGGTAAGGAATCCCTGAAAAAGCACACGGCCAGAAGAAGAAAGGCTTCAGTAAAACATTGTGTTCTAAAAACACCTAAATAGAGAGAAATTGATGGGGAAGATCGAAACACCTGCCTCCCAATCACACACTTGGGTGCAGATCCTTGATTTCACTCCCACCTCAGCCTAGGTCATCCCAAATTAGAGCATCGGTATTGTTTGGCTTTAAACACCATCTTAACGTCGTTCTTCAGAGGCTATTTTATAAAGCAACTACAGGCGCTTTCAGAAACTGCCAGAGACACCTGCACATCTGCTGATGAGCTACTGGGTTGCTTCTGTTGGTTAAAGAAGTATTCCTCCCACTTTGAGGAGGAATGAAGGTGATGCCCAGCTCAACGTTTGCTGCATTTTGAAGGAAAGCAAACGTAAAGAGAACTCTACCTTCTGTGCCGCCTGTCACCTGAAAGAGAGAGGGAAAAAAAATGAAGGGCCGCTGCACCAAGAGAAATCTGAAGGGAAAAGGAAGCCCTAAAGCTTATCCCCGGTCCTGGGGAGCTATTTAAGAAGCAGGCGCTTTGGCCCACCAGACAGTTCACATGCTCACTGCAGGACATGGAAAAACAAGCAGCGTTCCACACCACTGCGATAACCACAAAAACCCAGCTCGGGAGAAGCTTACAAAGGAGGACAGACATGACTCGAGTTGAGAGCAGCACAAAGGAAGTCGCAGCAGAGGTGGGAGGTCTGATTTTGCCGTGACATGTCCTTCAGCCACGTCCTATGTCTTCATTTCACATGGTGCACGCAGCGTTATTACTGGACAATGTTAAAAGGCAAATGCTAGGCTCTTCAGACACATCTGGCAAACCGTGCACTATCTCACCCTCAGCAAGGAAAAGGACCCCTCTATGACCCTCAAAATCATGATGCAGAGAACTGACAGTGGCAGAGAAACTGCTTGTTGAGACCAGCTGTTGAGACCCTGTGTTAAAAAATGTGACTGCTCTGTCTTAGAAATCACAATGTTGCATAAATACGAAAGTCCCGGTTCCCAATTCTTTGCACCCAGGGCAGATACCCACTTCAGCAAAAACTGAGGGTATGAGGACTCAGGACTCAGTTTCAGTGAAAAAGCACAGGCAAGGACAAAATGATGGGGCCCGCAAAGAGCTGGTGTTAAGTGGGAAATGAGGGCACCTTGTGGCCAGCTATAAAAATGTACAAGATGAGATTGATTTTTCAGCACAAAAGCCTAACTGGGAAAAGTTCAATGAAAATTAAAAGAGGAAAACATCCTTCTGAAAATGTTTAACTTTAACTGCCTTTGGGGGTTTATGCCACATCTTACATGTGGTTGCTTTTATCAGTCCCCTCAGAGGTATTTGCAATAAGCTGTTTTTAAGCTTTCTTGTCCACGCTATTCCACTTGCTATGAATACCACATTCCCCAAAGTCAGACTAGGGGTTCAGCTTTCCCTTTCCCCACTGTTTCCGTCTCCTAAACAATGACAGCTTTGCTAGATCACTTTCAGTAAATATTTTAAGCAAAACCAGAGCAGCATCCAGAAACGTTGAGAGGCAGGCTGTACCTCCCTGACCCTTTGCAGGCAGAGATGAGTCAGCCTGGTCCTGAGCCCAAGCAAGCTATCTTTCACTGTGGCTCATTTGCTCCAGCTCAGCATCATGCTAATGCACTCACACCGCTCCTGGGTCAGCTCCAGTTTGCACCCAGAGTCATGCCAGAAGCCGCTACACCAAGTGATTGCAGCAATCAGACAGACATGGCCTGGGAGAAGGCTGACTTCAACTCTAGTGAAGTGCATTAACAGCCCCGCTCCTGCTCCAGCTTTTTATTCCAAATGCCCAAAACAAAACCATTTCATAGTTATCAAAACAATTATTTTTTCATTTCTGAAACCTTTACTTTGGGGAGAAAACAAAGTATTTTGACACATTCAGACACCATTTACTTTTGACTGGAAGTCAAAATTTACCTCAGCTCAGAATAGTTTTGATTATCTAGAAACTACTTCTTTTTGGCCATTCCATTAAATTTTCATGTATTTTAAATTATTCCAAAAAATCTAAAGCAAGTAGGTACGTCCAGTATCCTCTTCTGTTTTTGAGTACGGGGGCAATTCAGAACCTGGCAAGTAAGACTTGACTAAGTAGGCAAGTAAGAGGAGACATGGTGCAGGAGCTTTCCTGCTATCCCAGCGCAATTCCCAACACTGTTGTCTTACAGAGGTAATGGCTAGCAACTGCCAAGGAGGTGACCCTGCTCTTCGGCAGTCATTCCTCTCATCCCAGCACGGGTGCTTGTCCTCAGCCAGTTCAGGAAGCTAAACTAGTGGCAAACAATTCACATTTGCTAGGGATTAATTTTTTGCCAGTTCAGTTCTCTGAACAGGGCAGCGTGGTGGGCAGGAATGTCCCTTCCCACCACAGTGTGCTGTGGGACCAGTTAGATATGTTTGGCTGTAATGTCAATCCCTACCTTTAGGTGTTTTGAACTGTCCTTGTGAATTATTTTTATGCGTCTCATCAAACACACAGGGCTCCTGTGCTCCTGGCTAATCCCAGAGAGGGCGAATGCTTATCCCCTCTTCCTTCCCTGCCATACGTATATCCTGTGGGCAAATCCAGAGGTAAAGGCACCTCCTGAGCAGCCCAGAAGGGAGCCATTAGTTCTGCGACTTGCTGTAGGCACAGCTAGATGATGTGACATGCATTTGGTAATGACACACATTTCACAGCCTAACCATGTACACAGTCATCCTTCACTGCTACCACAGATTATACCTTACAGCTTCCAGAGCTACCACGTATTATCTGTCCAGTGCATTCAGACTGTAATTCCCCTCACTTCCACCATGGAAGTTACATGCAGGGATCAATGGGATTACACCAGCACACTGTAAGTGTGAATCCTCCTCCTGGTAATTTCTACATTGAACCCAATACCTTGGTTGCTCCCAGCAAATGCCAGTGTGCTGTCACTCAAGTCAGATGGGTTTTCCAAGCGACGTGGTGGTGGCTGCCTTAGTTTCTGCCCTTCCTCCATCTCAGGATAGGTGCGCACAGTAAGACACAGCGAAGGCTGAACAAGGGCATCTTTCAGCAAAGCTGAGTCCAAATCCTCAGCAGCTTTCCTGTTAATCTCCACAATTTCATCGCCAGCTTTCAGGCCTGCAACACAGAAAGGAACAGGTAAGACTTGCACAGTAACTTTTCTGTTAACCACGGACATCAAGGAGCTCAGCCTAGTGTTTATGAAGTGCCAGACAGTGTTATGTCTACACATAAAGTAAATATTTATGACTGCAATATTTATGATATTGAAATTTGATGCACTTTTGCGAGATCTGTTGTCAGGCTGGTACTCCAGTACCATCCCTAAGAGCGCGGTGCCCAGGAAGTCCTTCACAACGTACCAGCAAGAAGATACCCCGTTTTTCTTCACGTCACTGTACAGCAAGCCACCCTACACAACACATTGCTCGTAAATAAATATATACTGAAGGACAGAGTGAGATTTCTGAGGCGCTGCACACAAGACAGGGGAAGGATGGAGTAGCTGGGCTGGCTTGATTCTTCCTTTTAACCTTCCATATAAGTGAAGGCTTTTATTTGAAGTGGTCACCTACCCATACACCTAGGAGGAGAGAAAACGTTTCCCACTCAGCCAGGGTGTATGGTGTAGGACTTCAGATAGCTGCGTCTCTGGCCCTGTCTGAATCACATCCTAGCACACAGATCTTCAAAAGGCAAATTTTAGCACTTGGTAAGTTAGTCATGGTTTTTTTCCAATCTGATTTCAGGAGCTATTTATAGCACCAGTGCCCAAGGGAAAAGGGGATCTGCAGAGGAAACAGCTGACTCCCGCTTGCTTCAGGGGTGACACAGCGATGCCGACAGACGACGTGCAGTCCTCTGAGGTTCTGCAGGAAACTTGACCTTCCCCTCAGCCAGCCGGGCCCGCTCTCCGACTGACAACAGCAAGCTGGACCAGGGTTTAATCCCAAATAATCTTTAGGGTCAGGCAGGCAGCAGTGCACCAGGGCACGTCGGTGCTGACAGCCCCGATCGTCGGGAGTTTTCTCTCCACTTGAGGGTGATGCTGGCGGTCCCCCGCAGGCATCCCCCCAGGAGCTGGCCGGCTGGGCACGGCCTGTGGGAAAGCATACTCTGCAGTGGCCACCAACCCACCAACGGGACTGCTGCGGCATCCCAGTCACCTTCCTGGCATTTACAGGGACAAAAGCTGGAATTTACAGGTTTGAAAGAGCTGCTCCCTCCACGGGGGTGACCTGCCCTCATGCCGTGCAGTCCTCTGGCTGGCCGATCATGCAGAGGCTGAGTCTTGCCACCCTTCAAGCCCAGTTGAAAGGCCTGACTCGATGAGCCTGAGCTGTGAGCAGAGCTCAGCTGCATCCTCCAGGAAACAGACTACCTACCCGCATTTAAGAAAGAAACACGGAAAGGAGGAGGCTAAAGAGCTTCAGTCTTCTTTAGGAAAATTGAGATCTTTCTAAATGCATGTAATTGTGCCCAGAAACTGTAGTGTTGCATGCAGTTTCGGAGAGAATAAAATGAACTAGATAGATAGAATAGCTACAAAGTAAATGGAGGATAAAATCATATTTGAAACAAGGACAAAACAAAGCAAGTCAAGCATTTCACATTATTTCGTTTATTCATTAGTGACGCCATGTCATAATAGCAGCACATTAATATGCCTGCAACCATAAACGTCATATCTGGGGCTTCATTTACTCATTGTAATCCTTGTTTTGAATCATTTGGGGTAAAGCATCATGTCTATCTCGGTACAATCAAGCACCTCAAATTCCAACAACAGCCTAGCTAACGCAGACCAACAAAAAAAAAAAAAGATAAATCATAAAAATTATTAGGAGAAAATAAAATTTAAGTTTTCTAATTGGAGAAAAGATTGAAAATTAAATACTGTATCTCTTCTGGTTAGACTTACTATAGGAAGTGCAGTCAAATGCAAACATGAATGTAAATAATGGGAGAAAGAAAGAGTTTTCCTCCCTGCTTTCTGCCAACTATTGGTATCTTGTCATAATATCCTGGCAAATACTGTTCATACAGAAGTGGCTTTTTATATCAATTATGAAGAGCAATACATCTCTGAAAGCATGTTTTAGCATTTCAGCCCCACAGGAGGCAGTCTGTGTTCATGCATTCATTTAAATTGTCGCTCAAACATTTTCTAAAAGCAAAATAAGGAATCCCTGCTGACTGCCCGCCCCCTCCCCCCAATATTCTCTGTGCTCCCCACAAGAAGCCTGCAGAGTTTTATTTCCCTGGTGCAGGCTGGCAGAGAGCCGCCCTCCAGCCCCCATTCAGGCCTTTTGGCAGAATCCCCATCCTCTCAGCCAGGGAATCGTATGGGGCTGAGGTGGGGTGAGGAGAGAAAGATGGTCTTTTCAAGCTCAATAGACATATGCAGCAGCCTCCAGGACCACCTAAGGGGTTTTCTTAAGTTAGGGTTAGAGGTTACAGCTGAGTGAAACTCCAGGCTCCCTGCAGCCAGAACTGTTCCCCCTCCTCTCCTCCGCCCCTTGTTTCTTCCTTCCCAGTTTCTGTCTGCAGTCCTGTCCCTTCACTGTGCCACTTCTGCCACTTGCTTCACTGCAACACAAGACAACTCCATTTGCTTTAAAACCAGCCACGCATTTCTGCCACGGCAATTTTCTATCAAGACGGTGAGCTGAATCAGCTCAGCTAAGAGTGCCAGAGTCAGCACAAGGCAAAGGGCTGGAGCAGTTTGGGGAAGACCAGCCCCCATTGCTTTTGGCAACAGCAAACTGTTGAATAAGCTCTGCACGACCATACAACCACTCACCGATAAAACTCTGCAGGTGTTTTTGAAGACTCTGCATATACTGATAGGTTATGATGAGATAAGAGTCTTCTCACTCTTCATGCTCCCCATGTTATACTTTAAAACCTGGTTAGGTTTCACCTGCGCAGCTCCCTGACCAGCACATCCCATGACTGCATGAGCAGCAGTGCCAGCACATCGGAAAGGGTAATGTATGGGAAAAGCAGTAAGGGCATGGCAGTGTCAGGGTTGACTTCAGCTTGGGTAAGCTGCCATTAAACCGTATCCTGCTCTGCCCTGGGACGAGTCCAGCAGTCTAGTTATCTCTGCCGGTTTTTGGTCCAAGTGCTGTCATGCTTCCTGCAAAACTAGAGGCAGTAATCCCAGCCACAGAGAGCACTATGATGACTTCTACTGTACCCGTTTATCTTGCAGTGACTGACTTGAGAGGGCCCCTGCTCCTCCTTCTAGCTGCAAGGGACACGCTGACCCTGCTACATACACAGCAACTCAAAATTGAGAGGTTGACTATATAGCATAGCTGATCCCAAGAGCAGAACAGTCATGTATTCAGTACCTAAGGTTCTTCCCAAAAGATCATGGTCTCTTTTGGACTGGGACCCTGGTTTGGTGTGTTCGTAAAGCTCCTATCCCAACAAGCTTATGGTCTATACCAGGACTAAACAAACAACAACAAAAACACTTTAAAGTGTCTTTTACCTTTCTTGAAGGCTAGGCCTGTCTCTTTGACGCCATTCACATACAGCCGACGAATCCCTTCTTCTTCCACAGAGGACAGAGAGAAACCTAGGGAGATACCCAGCGAGACGGTTAGAAATAACCAACCACTTCCAGCGTGCCCTAACAACTGCATGCACTACAGGTAAGGCTGTGCTGTCCCTGCAGCGAGCAGTCAGGAATTCCTCCCTTTTCCTTTCCCATAAACCTTTACAAACATAAAGAGAAAGTTAAAAAATGAACAAAAACCGGAACTGAATTTCTGAGTTTATACATAAATCATCTACAGCTTTATTTGAGGATACCATAGCTGCAAAATGTTGGAACAGACTTCCAATTCTCTTGCCACAAAAGGTCACTTCAAGAAGTTTTGCTTTTTGCAGACAAAAGCTGCACAGAGATGTGGTTTGTGACCCAAACTGACAAAAGCCAGGAAATGGAGAGCTATGGCTGACATGCCATCCTGAACTCAGACAAGGCATAACAGTGCCTGCTAAAGCAGAATGCCAACTTTTACTTTTTTAAATTCCTGGACTGGACAAGTTTGTAAAAATGCCGCTTCCCCTTCTCCCCCTTTCTATTCTCAGCTGCTCCTGGCACAACCTGTTATTTGCTAAGTCCCAGCTCAGTGCACATTTTATAGCTACATTAGAGACCGATAGACCAGCCTTATAATGGAAGTACTGACACAGCCTTAATTTAAACAGTGCAAACGGTACTGTTACGTTTGGTTTTGATGATTTTCCTGCCATTTGTGTTTGACACTGCGTAAGATAACAATGTGTAAAGGAAATACAATGTGGTTAGTTAAATAGGGTTTATTTATTTACTGTTGAGAGTTATCTAAAGCAGAACATTTGCCTTTCTGAAACTTCATTACTCCCTAAATGGGTGTAGGCAACCATTTGCTCTCTCTTTTCCTGACTAGAAAAACATTTACAAACCTCTGGGAGGAGATACTTGTTTGACATGGAATCAGCCACCAGCCAAGAGGAAGCAGATGTGCTGGGAGCCTATTCCGACTTCAGGACTCCCTTCAAGCTGGTGCTTACGGAGGAGAAGTTATTTTTTCATCCACCATTAAAAAAAAGAAAGGAGGGGGAAGAATGTGGCAGCCTAGGAGCGAGGAGCATATGGCCCTTCATGACTTACTGAGCTACTTGGAATCTGTATGCGAGCTCCTCAGCCTGCATAAAATGAAATTTGTGAAGCTCACTCAACACACCAACTTTGGCAGAGAGAAAAACTCTTGACTAAACAAAAAAGCAGCTGTAAAAAAATAGTAGCTATTAGTTGTCATCACTGGAAAGCCTACCTGGAAAACCCTTAACCAGAAGCACAGTGGAGCATGCCCAAGACTGCAGTTTGAGTCAGCACAAATTATCAGTTACTAACACCATCACCCTTTTGCAATTGAAATGCTGTTTTGCAGCCAATTGCCATACAGTTAAAACAAGGCTGAGTCGCATCTCAAGTTCTCGCTGTGGCTAACTGTGAAGAGATTAGCACGCCCAAGCAGTCTCAAGCTCCCATTCTCTTCCGTGAGAAGACCTCTGCCTCCTCCAATCTGTCAGGGCTAAGGGCAGGTGTAATTGCTTTTTAATTTGGCTTTCATTCAAAAAAAAAAAAAAAAAAAATCCGGAGCGGAACAGGTGTAAGAAGCAATTACATGTGTTGTCATCACCTTTAGGAGATGAGAGATGGGCAATTGGCAACAGCCTTGAAATGGTCATCTCACAAACACACTTAACCCCTCTGCAGACATGGTATATGACCATACCCCAAGTATGCATAAACCGTTTTATTTCCACAGTTGTGATGTGGCTGGATCCAGTAAACAGTTGTGTCGGGGCAACGCCTGGTATC